TGAATAATTGATAACTAGACAATATTGTTCTAACACATTTGGTCAAGTACTAGATGTTCTGAAAATCTTGATTAACAAATAATACTAAATTGTTTGGRCATTACATTAAGTAATATAATATTTTGTTCCTATAATATACAAATATTAGTTAATCAACATTCTATCCCCTCACAATTATTCAATTTTAAATATATAAACATATTTGAAATTTTGAACTCATCGACATTTTCTCTAGGTTTTTCAATATGATTGAAATAATTAAATAATGTTTTAGTTACTTAAAAGAAACTTAGTTTAATTACTTTCTAAATTTGAAAATATCAAATAAGTACTGTAACACAACGTTAATTGGAATATCAAAAATTGATTCCCAAAATAACCTAAAAAAAGAGGTAGATAGCAAAATCTTTTAACAGAATTAAAATCTATTAATTTTAAGCATTAAGTAAGTCTATATTTGTCGAGCTTTTTGCAATTAAATATGGTGAKTCTAACTACCGAACACAAATATGTACTTAAGGTTTAACAACATTAATAAAAAACAACTAACTATTTATATATTAACGCATAAAAATGTAACAAACAATATTCACTTTATGATACAAACAACACTAGATAATCCATATATTAATTTATTATAATTAAACAATTTTCATATAAACAATTTCAGAACCTTTTAAATATATATAAAAAAAAATACATTTTATCATTATATTTATATAGGAATATTTTATACAGAATGACTTATCTCATTAGTTTTTACAGAATTGATAATTATTATATAAGTAATATTAAAAAGTTTTTACCACACATAATGTATTTCAATAGTCAATAAGTTCTTTGTTAAATTAAAAATTATCATAATATATTTTTAGTGTGATATAGTTTTTTCATTAAAATAATTGTTACAAAGACGTAACATTATACATAATACAAGAAACAGTCAAAACACCTCTCAAAAATCAAACTAACATTTTATAATACCTAATGTAAWATATTTACAATGTAGAACAATCTAAAATATAACATAATATACCTATAACCAATAAAAAAATGAATCATAATGATAATTCTCAACAGAGGTTGAGAATAATTCACATTTCTAACTCTCACTTCACAAAAATTATATTGAAAAATCCATGAGAAAAAAAATATTAAAATAAATAATGTTTATAAATAACAAAAATTATAACACCTTAAATTATTTCACTGGTGGATTGAATTAAAGTAATAATAACAATTATAATAAATATTATATCTTGACAAGATTCATTTTTCAAATAATTGTTACAATAAAATATTGAATATTTGTGCAAATTCATTGTTTAAGAACACGCTACACGACTATTTGTCGTCTCCGTCTTACAAGTGTATAACATTGCAAGTTTATGCTCAGGAGATCACGTTTGGCTCAATTAGTTTAAAAATTAGAGTGAATCAAACTATTATGAAACTTGAGGGTAAGACATTATCTGTTTGTGTGTGAGTTTTTTACGATAACTTAGTTTTTAAGTGAGTTGTGAGTATTTTTAATTTACGCTCTTATATACATGCATAACTTGCTACAAAATTGAACTATTGTAAAAAAATCCCACATACAAACACAGATAATGTTCTCTTACTATCAAGTTTCGTAATAGGCCAACTCACTCTAATTTTTGAACTAATGGAATTAAAAGTAATCTGCTAACTGCAGTGTACATTTGCTATGTTACGCGCTTGTAGACGGAGACAGAAAATATGTGTGTAGCGTCCTCTTAAAATATTCTATCATTTAAAGTTTAAACTATTGCTAAATTTTGAATATTGAAATTGCACATAAATATAATCTAATATAAATATAGATTCATTATTTACCACATATTGACATTGTATTAATTTTATTTTTACAGGTTTGAAACCTAAAACATTTATATTTATACTAAAAATATAAACATAAAGTAACCTTGCATCCAATTCTTATGATAACTCACTTAGTGTTAATAACCAGGGGAAATTTGTATTAAATTCATATTTTATATATCAATAAAATAATCCTAATGTACATAATCATTTAGAAAAATGTATTATTGTACTTTATTCATATTCTGAAGAATTATTTTGGTTGTTACATTTATTTAACAATATATTCTATACTTCGCTATGGATAAATTGTTTAAAAATATAATTGATGTATATATAGTTATTATATTTATATATATTTAAATTTTACATAAAACTCAATGATAATACATATTTATTTGATAAAAAGAAACCTGTTAACAAAYATATTTGTATCTATCTAATTCACAATAGATTTAATTTAGAGTATTAAACAATAAAATAATGGAAATTAATTATTAAACGTTGAAGGAATAACAATAAGAATTGTATAACATGAAACCTTAAAACAATTCAAATAAAATACTAAAATTAAAATTAAAATAAAATAAAATAATAATTATGACATAGGTATTTTAATTATTTTAAATGGTTATGTTTATATATGTTAGCATATATAATATAACAGTAATTAGTGTTGGAACCAATTATGCTTGCTAGTTTTATCAAAAAAATGTGTTTCACATTTGTAAAAAGGGTTTGGAACCTGAATATCCGAAACTAGCAATAAAAAATATTTTAATCTTTATGATTGTTAAACATACCTATATGAAAAAGTTAAATATTCAAACATAAATAATTACTTGATTACTCTTAAAAAACTAGAACATTCTTAGATATTTATTGTTACTCAGACCAAAATTTTAATTAATGTGACTTATATAGCTAAAAATAGAGTTTTCTAAAAAATAAATAAACCCATTATTAATAATTTAACCTAATAATGATAAATATTTTCAATCTAGAAACTATTAAATCATAACATTTAAGATTAGGTTTTAATTAAAAATAAATATGCATAACAGCCTTAAATACTGAATTAATTAAAAAAAAAAAAAAATGAAAATACCACAAAGTATTGATAGTTGTAACTGAATAAAAAAATCCTAATATGTAGTATTTTGSGATGAAAATAAAGTAGAATTTTAATTAATACCAATACACAGAACAATTTAGATTCCAAGCACCTAATACCATATTTTACTTATCATTTTAGTTTATTATATAATTGTACTAYGCCATGCATATAGCATTATTTTCTAAAAAAAATTATATAAAATTAAAATTATGAATACTAGGCTTATACATCAATAATAGGTTATTTTTATGAAATTAATTAATTAATAATAATCTTTTCAAAATTCTTTTTAATAATTTTGAAAAAACAAAAATTTAATAATGTTAATTTTAAACTAAATTAACAACATATTCATAGGTTATATTCTATAAAATAGTATACTATATAATATATTTAAAAATAGTCAAATCTACATCGAAAAAACAGAATCTACYGAGTCTTAAAGGTATGTTATTGCCTGGACACTTTAGTATATTAAATTTATTGTTCTGYTACTAAACATTATATCAACATTTTAGATTAATGACAGTTAACAAAAGTAGGTGGAGTTATACATCTTATAAGACTCTGTGACAAGGCAATAACTAACAATTATGATCTTAAATAACTATAAATTTATGATTAAATTTCAAGAATTGTTTTGTCTATCGTTTTTAAACATACGCAAGTGTATACAGAATATGTTACAATGAAAATATTTTTTGATAGGTTTTTTGCTATCAATGTATTTATTTTCTACAAAAACATGAAACAATGGTTCATACAAATGATTTTCATCATTTATAAATAAATATAAATAAAATATATAAACAGCAATATTTAAGAAAAAGTATAGATAATTTTAATATCTATTAAGTCCTTATTAAAATATTTTGATCGCACCAATGGAAAATAATAAGAAATTTAATATGTAATAAATGGATTAATAACAACATATACAGGTTTAATATTATAAATATCACATTTCTTTCTTAACCATTCAGGCAAAGCTTCTTCGTTTAATGCATTATCATTAGACTCTTTATTATCCATAACATTAACTCCGTTCAATTGTTGATGTCTTGAAGTACCTTCTCCAAACTTGTTATTTTCCAAAATGTTTGTTTTATCCAATTTTTGAAGATTTAAAGTGTCAATATCACCAGAAACTTTGTTTTTCAATTTATCTTTAGTATTAGACCCATTATTTGTTTTACTAACTGCAATAGTCATAGATTCATCATCAGACTTCAAAACTTTAAGTCTCTTGGATTTATTATTGGACCGTCTCACATATGATGATTTCTGCTCTGATGATGTCAATGCATTATTTGGCTTAGATTTTGAATCACGTTTCATTTTAGGATTACTTTTAGTTGTCTTTACCTTAGATGTACTTAACTTACTCTTTTTATTAGAAGTTTTAATATCAATTATTTCTTCCTTATGTATTTTAGATTTTGGCTTTTTATCTTGATCTTCTTTTATTTGTAATAAATTGTATTCTTTTTTGATGGGAAGGTCATTTTCAAAATCTTTCAAAGGTTTAATGGGCATATTTTTGATRATGACAATATCAGGACTGAATAAACTTTTACGGTCTTTTTCGTATATTTTTTTATAGTCCAAAGTTTTCATTACTGAGCCCGAGAGACAAGATGATTTATTTTTAATATTGCCAACATCTTTATCATTATAACCACTAGTAGAAGCAACATGAGAAGTTTTAATTAATACCACATTTGAGTTATTACMAGCAACTGCAAGACAATTTTTTTTTTCATTGTGTGGCATACTTTCAACATTATTTGAAAGTTGTTTAAATTCATTTGTTTGTAAACGGTCTTTTGTGTTATGATTCTCCGCTAGCGTTTCTACGGAACTGGAAGTATCCAATGATTTAGTATTTTTGGTAGTGGAAACTATTGTCTCAGGCTTTTTAGTATAGCTAGAAAATAAAGAGCCATTCAGAGCCAATGAAATACTTTTATCATTTTGAATTTCTGTAGAGCTACTCGGGTTACTTKTAGATACATTATTCAAAGTATTTTGTACTTTCAGTTTTTTACTTTTTTTGTATGCTTTATCTATACAGGTTTTAATTTTATTGGTTTTCGTTTTATTTTTTGAACCATGATTTCGTTTATTGCTACTTGGCAACCATTCTTCTTCTTTTTCTTCTTCTTTAAGAGAAGTTTTATGCACTTTTCGACTTTTATTTTTCAAGATATTTACCTTTTTAGAACTTTTGAAACGTGTTGTTTCATTTGTTTCAATAGTTGGTTGTATTTTATTTTCTGTTAAGCTTTTTTGAACTTCCAATTTATCATGTTCAATATTAACCAAGCTTTCTAAAAGTTTTAAACTGTTATGCATTTTATATTCTTCCTCCAGCTTAAGTGGATCGGTATTTTGGTCTYCGTTTTGTTCTATGAGACATTTAGTAGTTTGAATTTCATTAGTAGCACACACATTGCCAACATTAATGTCATCACTTTCAAAATCATCAACAAAATTAAAATTTGTTTGTATTGTCAAAGCTAAGGACATAATAGCTTCTGTAGTTTTTTCATCATCTTCCATAATTGCTGATGAATGAGCTGAATTCACATTATCATCAGTGTGCATATTATTAAACAATGGTAAATCATCATTTGTAGGTTCTACATATAAGTTGTCTATTTGTAGTGTTGGCCTGTAATTATGAAATGATGAGGCTTCAATTTTATTGGCAGTAGTATTTTTAATATTTTCTCCTTCAACCATTAACAGAGAATTTGAATCATTTTCAGAATTATTGCTCAATATATATGATTGAATTGCTTTATCTGATTCAGTTGAATTATTGTTTGCTTCTGATAAACATGGAATTTGAGTCAATTTAGAAGATCCTTGTAACAAAATATTATCATTGTAGCATGATCTTACAGCACCAGGATCTGAAACAATTAAAAATATAATATTCATAAATAGCTAAATAGCAAGATAGCTGTAGGAATTTTTTTTAGTAATTATTAAGACTACATAATATTTTGGGGAATAAAGCAATCTTTATTTGAGTTTAAGTGAAAAGCATTTACATTTAAGTATACTTACTTAAGACACATATTAAATATTAGCCCAAAATAACTGTGGTTAGTTAATTTTATAGGGGTATTTAAAATTTAAAAATTTATATAATCTATAAAATATTGATTTTACTTTTATGTACACTTAATAATAATATAAATTGTCAATTTTTTTTATTTATAACTATGGTTATAGACACAATTACAATATTCCAAAACAAATGAAAAAAATATGTTTATTTAAAATAGTTAAGAAGTAATTTAAATTTAAAATAATTTTGATTTGTATCAATCAATATGAAATATTAAATAATTTCATGATTTTTTTAAATATAAAATCAATGGAAAAATATTTATCATAAAGTAAGATAAATAGTTTTCGTTGATTACAAAGAACTTATTTATAAATTTAAATAAACTAGAATAATTTTAGGTTTATCACTTATAAGCAAAATGTATATTATATTCATTTAAATGGAACCAGTTTATATTTTTAAATAATTCATAGATTAGGCGAATAATAGTATAGTACTTACTTAAATTATTTGTCAATGAAAAACAATTTAAAGCACATTGAGTTCTTTTAATATTTTCCATTGAATTTTTAATAATGAACTGGCAAAGGTATTCATAAGCACCTCCAACAATACCTTCAATAAAATTTTGGTGTTCAAATTCAAAGTGAGATCTAAAAAAACACACAAAAAAAAAAAAATGTAAATCAACAACATTTAATATAATCAAGAAGATTAATTATTTTATTATAATATAATAATAATTTAATTTTCTGTAATTCAACATTTTCAGAAACTTAATATATTTCAGAAAATTAGAAAATTTAATTAAGACTATTTTTTTCTTATTTTTCTTTTTAAAAGTATTTTCTATAAATTTAATTTTGACAGTGTAATAAAATGTTAATCATAATATTTTTGTTTGAATTTTCAAAAACTTAATATATTTCAGAAAATTAGAAAATTTAATTAAGACTATTTTTTTCTTATTTTTCTTTTTAAAAATATTTTCTATAAATTTAATTTTGCGGTGTAATAAAATGTTAATCATAATATTTTTGTTTGAATTGTACTATATAATATACAAAATAATTTTTTTTATAATTTTATATTAATCTTATATTAAATAATAATTAAGTCATTTAACCCCTGTATTTACTCTAAACCTCATTTAGTATCAATAATTATTATTTATAAAAACCTATTATATGTATCATTACTAACTCATTGTGAAAAAAAAAAAAAGAAAAGATTTTAGATAACTATTTTAAGTCAATATAAAAAAAAAAACACAATTAAATTTAAATAGGAGAGTACTACAAAATGTAGTTATTTTACAAGTGAACATAATTATATAAATTATAGTTCAACAATTTATTAATAAACATTAATATTAATAGCTTAACAKTAGATACTACAATGAATAACTTTTTATAATGAAATACTCTCTTGCAACAAATCTGAAACCTTCAATAAACAATTTATTTCAAATTTTGAATGTCTTTGTTAGTTTAAAGCTGTTTGCTCCTCTTCAGAATACAATTTAGAAAATCTAAAAGCCTAAAAAGTTTTTTACATTGGTTATTTATGATTTCAATTTTTTTAGTCTTCGTTAGGAGCAAACAAATTAGAGCTGTCATAAGGTATGCAGTCTACCGGTGAATTTATGAATATAGYATGTAATATGTAGTGTTCAAATTATTCACTAAAAAATGAATTCGTTCAAGTTCACTTCTTAAAAAAGGAACTTGTTCATGTTTTTTTTCAAAAAACGCATTCATGTTCACATTTTTTGAAAAATTAACGTGTTCATTAAATGGTTGTTCATCTAATTGTTTGTTTATGAATAGTTTACCAGCAGTCAGAGTACGGCATTATTCAAATGAAATTTTATATAGATATCATTTTATTTAAATAATTTCTWAACGTTATTATTCGAATAAAAAATTATTCGGATAATTTTCAAACGTTATTATTAGAATAAAAATCAATAAAACGTTTGATTAGTAAATTATTACAAAAATT